GGTTTGTTGGGGAGGCACCTACCTACCTTTCTAGGAACCTAGGTGCCCATGGCGCATGCTGGAACTAAGTGGGTATTTTGTATTATTCTTGGGTTTAAAAAATGTTCATCATTGGTTATTTGACTAACAGTATATCACTTTGCTGCAGCCGCAGCCGCAGCTGCAGCCGCAGTCATTTATGTTAAAGTGGCATTCTTAGATTGAAAAGAATGTCTTTTTAAATTCTATGTTGCAAAATACAGAATGACCATTGCAGCCTCGTATGTATTTTGCGTAGCGAACACCGATTTAGAAGCCGTTTTGTATATCATAAGATATTTCTTTTGAAATTTGCCGACCCTGACCTTTTCCCGTACTTAGTATGAAGGCTATAATCATGGCATGGTATTGTTTAGTCGTAATCTGGTATAGCCACATAACACGTAGAGTGTTTCGGCGCAGGCGTGGCTAGGAGCTGCCCCTTGTACGGTATACATGGGCCGAAGCGTAATGAACTCGTTTTCTACATTTGACCTAACTTTGACCTGAAACGTGACATCGATCTCAAAATTCTGAGTACGTTTAAGGTCCGTCTCATTGAGAGCTTTCAAATGCCACTTCTTGCGTGTAATTGTGATGATTAGTCCGGAAAATAATGCGGGAGAAATATTTGCCCTCCCCCCCCCCCCCCCCCGGCTGGTCACCATCCTTGGAGGCGATGACATGCGCAGCCAAAATGTGTGCCGGATATATTAATGAGAAAGTAACAATCAGGTACCTACTGTGATTATATGAAAGACAATCGCACGAAGAACGCGCTACTGCTAAGCCAGATAAGAATTCATTATGTTCCCCTGAAAATACATGCAATTGCAATATATTGCAAGCTGCCATACATCCTAAAATAGCAGTACACTGATTGGAATACGGTACTAACAACGTAATATAATCGCTTATTTCGCTACTAAAAGTACATTCATGTCGCTAGGCATTGACTATTTCTCTGGAAAATTAGTAAAAAGATGTTGCACATATATTGCTAAAATGACCAGGTTTGGCTTTAGCGTTCAACAAATAAAATGACACAGCAATAATATCCATTCAATTCTGTACACAAACCCGGATGGGGTTTCATGAAATATCCCGCAGTTTATGTGGAAAATTGATTAATCAACACTGCTGTGAATTTCGGCGCCCCGTAATGCTCGTAAAATGCAAGAAGGTATTACGTGACTCCATTTTGACCAAACCGATAATCACGATAATCAGAAACGACTGCCTCATTTCGGAAGATGAACAACTGTAGAACATTAACCCGAGTGGGTTTTTGGGATATCCCATATGGTTCGGTAACAGTATGTGTTTTATTACGATTATTCCCTTTCTCCCCTATGGCAGGCGGCACAGCATACCACCGCAGGGGGGCCGGCCCGCGCGCCCGATGAGCGCGACGGTCCCTAGCGCTGCTGATCACGATTAACACGCGCTTGGGTGGGGGTCTAATAAATTTGGTGTCTCTAGCTCTTTTAGTTCCCGAGATCTCAGGAGGGTCAAATTGACCCCTCCCCACCTGAGCGGAGGGTATCTACCCGGCCACCCGGGCACATGTTAAAGTAATATATTTCATTTTCTTTGCTTTTTCCAACGTGTGTATTCTGTAGCATTTACAACACACGCACCGAAATGCTTGTGTAATAAACGCTACGAAAGCTTGAAACACTGTTAAGACAAAAATGTATGCAAATATGAAGCCTTCATTCCGCGAATTCAACGAAACTTTATACTATGACCATGATTTCTCCCGTATGATTCTCCACTATGTTTTCTGGGGCGTCTACCACAGTGTCTCTTTTCGAGGCGTACTTTGGCTTTGGGAATGGCAACATCACATGATCCATATGACGCACTGGTTCACACTTCAACCAGTGCGCTTCTCGGTACAATTAATTCCCTTGCCCGCTGGGCCAATCACATCTGTTCTTTCCTTCATTCGCACTTGGTGGTCGCGACTGCAGGAAAGAAGTGTAGTGCTGCCGCAAAACGCTGACGGCGCAATTTGGACTAGAAAAATGATTAAATTGATATCCTTTATATGCTTTGATGTTACTGCAGTGGCACTACCCAATGCTATTATTAGACGTAACTAGTTCTGATATTTCACTAGAATATGTTTTTCTTTCTTCCTAAAATATGCTCCAAATGTGGGACACATACTTTGTACAGATAAAGTGCGCTTTTCAGATCGTCAGAAATTCACTGCTTCCTTGTAAATAAGCACGCAAGCGGACAAGACGGACTGATTTGGTTTCGTTTGCATGATCGCATTCGTTTGCTCGCTTTCCTAGTCTCCTCACTACGTTTGGACCAACTACGTGGTGCTTTTACGAGGGTTTTCGGTATATTAAGTATTCCATTTGGTAAACAAATATGCGAAGGTGCCAAGTGATAAACAAGCTAATGCAAATAGCCACGACTGGCTGGTCCAACTGGTTAGCGTAGTGTACCTCCTCATGAAAACAACTAAGTTTTTGAATGCACTCCGTCGCTACCTTCCGTCGTTGTTTCACGCCGGGGGGGGGGGGGGGGGGGGGTCGACGCACGGCCGATCCGTGCCAGGGTCGCTTGAGATGTATCAGGTTACCGTCCTTGCAAACGATGAGCTTGACGTCTGCGAGTGCAGCCGTCAGCGTCGTTGGGAAAAAGTGCACGCTGTGTTTGGCTCTGGTCTTATAACGGGCGCTGGCCAGCGACTGGCCTCCTATGGCCCGTCCGCGATGCAGAACGGCCGTCCTGACCTAAAACGCGGGAGCTCTCGCCTCGGCAGTGGAGCGGTCTGCACCATTCACGCGACGCAGGCGTGGCGCCGCTCTTGCTCGAGCTGGATCGCCAGAGCAAAGGTTACATCCGGATGAAGCTCGTGCTCCATTTGCCGTTGGTGGGCGCCTCAGACACCAGGCCTGTTTGCTAGGGCTCATCGTAACCGTATATACTTCAGGGTCCAGTCTTATTCAATCCACAGGCAAATGCACCCACAAATTACAAATCTAATCCAAACAACGCCAGGCCAGTAACACAAAAATGTTTATCCACGATAATGCTCCTATGTTTGCTACGCTGCGGTTTCGTTCGACCCAATGTGGCCACATTAACATACTGCGCGTGGACACACCATTCATTTATGGAAGCGGCACTCTACATAGTCGCACTCCGCTTGTAAAGGCTAACTGCAGTCCATTCCGGATAACCTTCTCCTCTTTGCCATACTGTCCAGTCCAACCTATGGATTAATACAGATTGATCCAGTTCTTGAAGAGTTTCACTCTATATACCTTCAACGACATTTCGTCATTTGTCACCGTTCGTTTCGTTGAACCCCTCGACGGGTATTAAAAGCACAAGTTAACGTTTCGGCACGCCTAGTCCTGCGATTGGGACAGTCTTCCATGAGGAGTTGCGTGCATCACGAGCAAATGTGGAAGTGCGCGATCAACGAGACCACAGTGACCACATTCGCTTCATGACAGTCCTCGGTGCCGACCGCCTTGTGAACGAGTTGAGCTTACCAAAAAATTCCGTCATTTTTTTCTGGAGCGATCCTCGCCCCACAAAAATCCTGATTCGGAAAGGCAGTGTTGACCACAATAACCTTCCAAACACATGAAATATTGTTACTTTCGGGCCTTACCTTGAGCCATTACACCGTAACTTAAAATCCTACCGCTACGACGGCCACACCGCAGAGCGCTGGCCCGACGTCGGACTGTCATAAACACCAAAGCTTCGCAGAATCATCACAACACAACAAGCAAGGGAAATTGGGCCCTAGGCTGCTTTGCATTGTAATGTCTTATGCTATGAATAGCCGTGTATCACTGACGGAAGCATAGTGTTTCCGCTATATATCCCGACGCCTGCTTGATGTTTAACTTGTTTAACCAGTTCCTATTGGCATGAGGACATGATATAAGATACTGGTTCCTCTGGGGACCCACAATGTTGCGCGGTCACCCTTCGACAAACTCTGGACCCGCCACTGCCGCGAAAGGTGGCGATGGAGCGCCAATCCACGTTAGGACTGTACGTTTGTTTGTTTTTGTGTTTCTGTTGTTGATCGGTACGCTCACAAATTCTGAGACCGGCGGTCAATCACTGCATATGTCGCAATGCATAGGTAAAGATGTTTGGCACGCTGGAAAATGGGAAGACTCGCTAGGGGAGTAATAATGAAGATGATGAAGGAACTCAGTGATACATTTCTCAACTAGGTTCTGCCTGTCTTCCGTCTCCCACTCATATGACCTGAGCCATTTCCAGGCTGACGAGAAGAGTCACGGCTGCACCAGCGGCCCACCAAACTGACTCAGATTGTGTTGCGCTCCAGACTCAGTCTGCCCCTCCACCCCCCCCCCCCCCCCCTCCCCGACCAGTGCCCTCTCCGCGACCATACGGGCTACATTCCAGCCAGGCCACGCGGTAATCCGACCCCGGGCCGTGTTTACTGATTCCGTTTATGTATTTCGGCCGGATTCATTTCGGCGGCGCGCCGTTCCTTTTTGCGGCATGTTGTGGCGCAGCAGTCGCCAGCCGGCCGCGTCACGCGTCATTACCGGCCGGCCGGTGATGGTGTCATAGCTCTGGACGTCGACGGCCGCGCTGTGCGTGGCTCGCCGGCCGGCAGCCAGCTGGCCCGGCGAGGAGTGACGGCCGGCGCGCCGCGCCAAACAATGCATAATTCGCGGCGCGCGCGACGACGGGCGGCCAGACGGACGGCCGGGGTCACTGGAGCCGGGCCGAGCCAGACGGACGGCCGGGGGTCACTGGGCCGGGGGTCACTGGAGCCGGGCCGAGTCAGACGGACGGCCGGGGGTCACTGGAGCCGGGCCGAGCCAGACGGACGGCCGGGGGTCACTGGAGCCGGGCCGAGCCAGACGGAGGCGAGTCCTGGTCGCGCTGCGAGCGCGACCAAAGCGCCGCACAAGTGGCGTGCCATACGGACGTTGTTAACTGAACTGCTGTAGGGGTACCCTACGACCGAAATTTTATTTTCTCCGAGGCTTACAACATGACACGTTCGAACACAATCTGAGGGAAAACAGCTGGACCAAAATATCAAATTCAAGGAGTGCTTGAGTTCACCAAGTATTTCAAAGAGCCCTCATTGCACAGAAATGTTCAGTAAAAAATGCAAACATGTGAATGTGATGGCCAATGGGAACTCTAGGCGGGAAACGTTGCCTATAACACGCGTGACAATGATATAAAACGTCGAGCGCGCCAACCTCGCGATGCGTGGGCAGAGTTAACCGCCCTAATGATACATGCTAGTCACCCGCGTGCATGTCTTACCCGGAAGACATTCACTATTTGAGCAATGCAAAGAACATCACCGCACTGTGCATAAGCTTGATTGCGCGAAGAGAATGATGACAAACCGCAGCACGCACGACTATCTAGTTCACGAGCGCCGCATCGTGCCGTATAAAACCAAATGCTGCAATCACAGATGATGCTGGAATCACGCCACCCCCACCATGTGGCAGCCAGTTCTACTGCTCGCGCTGCTGCTGCTGTTGCTCGGTTGTAACATTCATATATTGCTCCACCCAATCCGAGGGCTGGGTTTTCTCGCCCCACACCTGCAGCGGAGAGAGGAGATGCCATGTCATCTGAGCTCAGGGAAGGAGAACTGCCGTCACTCATGGAACAATGCAACGCCACAGTCAGCCATCAGAAGACGCCATAGATGAGTTCCAGTCAGTCATCAGAGAACAGCGAAGATAAGTTGCAGTCAATCATCAGAGAAAAACGGGGAAGAGCTGCGGTCAGCCATCAGCGAAGATGAGCTGTAGTCAGATTTCAGAGGACACTAGAAATGAACTGCAGTCACTTATCAGAGGACACCAGAAATAAACACTAGTCATTCATCAAAAGACCCAAAGACCAGCTGCAATCTTGCAAGGGCTCCAGATATAAACTGCAATCTTGAGAGAACTCCAGAGATGAACCGCGATCAGTCATTATAGGACCACAGCTGTGAACTGCTCCCAGTCTTACGAGGACACCAGGGATGACCTGCGCTCACTCATCAGATGATTCCAGAGATGAACCGCAGACAGTTGTTAAAGGACAGTGGCAGCGGAGCAGACAGCGGATAAGCTGCCAGCAGCCACCAGAGAACAAGCGAGCACAACTATTGCGAAAACGATCTGTTTTGCTTGGTACTACGCAACACCCAGTTTGCGGAAACACAAGAGTTCTTCATCGACAGCTCCAGTTACCGCACGCTAGACAGCAGCAAAACTACGCTCGGTTGTTGAAGGGGCAGTCCTCCTCCGGGATTTCCCCCTCCTCCCCCCAAAAACCTGAAATGAACGACTGGGACCAGAGATTGATTCTAATACCAACCAAATCCCTACAAACGTCATGCAAAGCAAGAGCGCACAAAATAATGTTTTGCTACTTTTAACTTCATGCGGCTTGGCCACGCCTGTGGACACCACACGCCCACACGAAGCAAAGCACGGCTTTTTGACAGCTTGATAACATTTTGCATATTCAAGCACTGTTATGTCATAAGCTTCAAAACAATTCGAAAGCGTTTGAGGGTACCCATGTGCTCTGCACAAAAGCATCTTTCACGACTAAAGTTACGGCCGGCACGGCGGCTTCCTCCCGGAGGAATGTCCGAATTACGGCCGGCACGGCGGCTTCCTCCCGGAGGAATGTCCGAATTACGGCCGGCACGATTGCGGCTTCCTCCCGAAGGAATGTCCGAATTACGGCCGGCACGATTGCGGCTTCCTCCCGAAGGAATGTCCAAATTCACTGCGCTAAAGCATCGCGACCTTTGTCGCGCGCCGCAAAGAAGAAAAGTACAGATCCGGCCCACAACAGTGTAGCCAGACTTACTCAGGCCAGCGATTAAGTCGGATCAGCGACCAAAAGCGGCTAAAGACTGCTCATTTGATCGGCACTAGCTACAACAGTCCACAATGACGCCGATCAAAACAGCCATCTCGGAGCCCGGTTCGCTTTAGGTCGTTGTTTTCCCGGACATAACAGAAACCCGTGTAAACTGAATGCCCATGTTATGCAGAGATGACTGATGAAGCAGAGGTGTCCATCCCGCTAGCATGAAAAAACAACAGTGCGTTCACCCCGTCAAATGGGATTTTTGAGCATCAACGGCAACCTAAAAAACGCCTCAACAGCCGAATTAAATGGGATCAAAACACGGAACTCAGAACATCATTTAAGAAGGAGGTATAACTGCATGATGGCTTTCAGAAACACAAGTGTACAGCAAGGGGTCATGTCTCAAATTATATGCTGGACTGGGAACGAACCAAAGTCGCATAACGTGAGGATTACTTTATATAATCTCAATCAGCACAGGCTTATATGATCAGCCCATTCCTACACCAAAATTCCTCCCCATACTCCTAAATCCATATCACCCTTAGCATAGACATTGGAAACATCACAATGAAAGGCAAGAAGGCTCAATGGTTGGATTCAGCTGTTGGCTGCTCACTGGAGACGGCCCCAAACAAACAACAAATTAGCGTCACTTGGAATGAAAATGGGCCGTGCCACTTGGATGATGGACCAGCTATGATCGTTGTAAGAGCAAAATAATCTCTGTCACAACACATCAGATTTTTACAGCATAAGCTTTCCAAGGTTTCAACAGGCTACAAATTACAACTATTTCGACCCCGCCTGAAGGACAAGTTTTGACAAGTTTACATCACCTTTGGACCTAGACCCACCTATCTAGCGTACTATGTGTACCAACAAATTTTGACACTACTGCTGCGAATGTCTCCCTTTAGCCTTTCACCTAGATTGGCGGCCCTTTCCAGCTGTGGTAAATGTTTTTAGAGATGCACTACATCTGTGCGGGTTTGGGAGGCCTTGGCCAGCCATTTTTTATTTCGTAATGTGGTCAACGTCTCAGCATGAAAATAGTCAAACAGTTCAAGAAAGGCAAGGTAAGAATTGTGAACACAATCCAAGGATCCAAGGCAAGAGCAAGCTTCATCGAAGTTGATCTGATGCATGGTTAGATATGACCCGTTGGGAGATGACTGGACCAGAAATGTGATCCTTTCATCGTTTTATATTCCCAATTAAGTTGACTATTAAATAATTCGTCGGCAATGAACCTTGATCACATGATTAAAACACAGACAACCGGAGGGACAAATGTCATAAGTGTACAAAGTATTTAAATTGTTTTTTTCTCCACACATAGGTAATAAGATGATACGTGCCTACACTTCAATGCAGCAAAATGCAAATTTAATTTAGACATCTTTATACTACTACATAATCCGCCGACGTCAGATATTCCTTCTTAATGGCCAAAGTGCACGTTTGAGAAACCATACTTCACAATGGGAACGTTCTTTGGTTCTGAAAGATCTAAAGAAGATATTTTGATCTTTTAAATCTTCTTTTTGATCTTTAAAGCTCTTTTGAACCATTTTTCCGTGCTTTAGAGGACAGAATTATCTGCTCGCGATGTGACGGCGCACTGCCGTCCTTCATAGCCGGATCAAAGCATATGAACGGAAAAAACGCCTAAAGATGGCCTTGGTCCTGTCCGGCTGTCAGGTATGTGATGCCATGCGATGTCGCATATACTCCCTACGATACCCGGACGGGCTCCGCGGCGGTTCATGCGATCGGTCACGTGACTGCCGTGGGATCGTGGCCGGGATCAGTGGCCACTGCCCAGCAGCTCCGTCACTCTTCGGCTATCGTACTGGCGCGCGCCCGCGTGCGACTGCGACGGCGGAGGCGGCCGGCGACAGGCAAAGAGTGGCCAGTCTTCTGCCTGTCCGCTGCACATTGTCATGCCGCGCGGCCTCGTCCCGGAGCTGCCCGCCGCCGGTCATTTCCGTTTCTCAAACCCGCAGTTGGAAAAGAAACGCGATGAATTAGCCACTGCTCACAACTGCACCAAACTTGCTCGATTTTTACATTGTTTTATTTGTGCGTTTACTGTCATCGCATGTACCTCATTGTTGCTCTAATACTGTCTTGTCAAACCGATTCGAACCAAACAAGAACCCAGACCTTCCAATGATTTGTGAACAAACGGAACTGAGCTGAAATATACACTGCAGCAGGTAGCCACCAATTTCACGTACGATTTAGTGATGTAGGCTTTCATCTTAGCTAAATATGCAAACAATCACGATTCAGTCATGCCTGCTCGCCTCTGGCTGCCGTCATACTTAGCTGTTCATGTTAAGATCTTTGGAAAGTTTCAAGGGAAAAAGCGCCATTTTTATCCAAATTCGACTGTCGTTGACCCTTTGAGACGCACTCAGCACCTAAGGCGATATAACGTTGACCATCTCTCATCCTGGCAGGAAGGGCGGACGTCGCCAGCAATCGAATTCCGTACCTCCAGTTATCCAGACGCCGCGGCTCAACAACACTTTCAGCACCTTCCAAATGAGCTGGGAACTCAATCTAAATCTGGTTTTGCCATTTAGGTAACAGGTAATCAACAAATGCTCTGGTGTTGAAGGGCTCGTTCAATGCAATGCTATAACAGAATTGGATTGTGTAGGCAATTGATTTTTCATTAATTGTGTATCGTGTAACGCTTTCCATCAAGCTTCAATCAACGAAAAAGAAAACATGAGTGAATTCCCGAACCACAGAAGACGCTGGTTGAAAATTGAAAGCATTGTGTAGATGCAAAGAACATATTTGTTAACTCGAAGCAAAAAGTATAGTGAATTGGTCAATACAGAAAAATTTTCATACGAAAATCGATTCCAGCAATTTGCTATTTGTCTAAACCCGTCATCACCATCTGCCAAGCAAGTGCTATGAAGTCGTATGAGGCAAGCCATGGGATGCAACCCAGTGACTTCATTTAAAATCCCGGTACCAAGCATCATAAACTTCAGGGCCTCTTGCCGACAGACAAATACACACTTGAAATACCCATGACTTGCAAATGCTGGGAAGCCGCGACCCATTCCTTGGCCCCGTTTGTTTAGTTACATACCCCGGAGCGGCTTACATGTCTATCTGCCCCCATCCAGCCGCCAGAATCTCGTCGCGCACGGGGGCACGCATAGGAGGCTCTCGACGCATTCCGCGCTCCGTGTCTACCTCGCAGCGCCGCCACTGCACACGCTGGCAGAGCCACAATCCGCAGGTGCTGTTTGCCAGTGACCCCAACACGCGCCGCCGCCAGCGAGGCCATCAGGTACGCCGTGGAAGCCCGGCATCGCACTGGCGCCAGCCGACGGCTGGGCAGACAACCATCAGTCCGTCAGTCGGTTACTAGAGCCCACAAGTCTGGCAACCAGAGCCTCAACAACATGAACGGCGCGAACTTCCAAGTGAAAACCCTCAGGCCATGCTATATTTTCGCAAAACAATAAATGTTCCTGGAAAAACATAAATGTCCTATTTTTCGCCACCAAAGCATTAAGCACAATTGCAAAAGCTTTGACTATTAAGCGCAGTATATACATTGAGCGATGAGCAAAGCTGATGGCGTAGGACGTGAAAGACTCAGGGCCAATTAAACATGCAGGTTTGCATTTGATGAAGTGCGTAACAACGAAGCAGCACGGATCCCTGTATTTCCGAAAGTGTGTTACGCTCTTTTACAATGACTTGAGGGACAAGTTGAGGGAGTTGCAAACAACGATAGCCTGATGTTGTCTTATGAAACCTTGGGACCCCAAAATGCCTTAAAAAAGGATGCCTTTACAGCATGCTTTAGCGCATGTAAATCCTTTGGTGTCTATTAATTGGTGTCAATTATCCCACTTTAGTGGACACACGAATGGTGAGACACGGCGCGGCGTCACCAGCGAGACAGCGTGTGTGGGCCGTTTGCGTTCCGATTGGTAATTGGTCTCATTTTCAGCACCGATTTCAAATATCGCCTTAAGAAGTACGAATTAAAGTGTTTGCCCAAACGATTTGGTGTGTTTTACTCTATTGATTGTCGGGCTTTTCCAGGTAGTTCAAGATCGCTCCTATAACAAGCATACAAGGGCCAAATTGTAACTTGCTGCGCTGATTGCCGGTCGTTCCAACCAAGTTCACACAAAACCAAGATTTTTGTCATTGCTTGAATCGTAATATAGCTTAAAGCCGAGGTGTTCGGGTGGTGGAAAATACGGAAGCAAGAACTCTTCGTTTCTGGCAGCAGCAGTGAAAAACTGACTGGTGTTCACGCAAATATTTAATAAACACGTTTAACTTGCCGTTTAAGTCGGATTTGTTGTGAGTCATCCCACTATAAAGCGCAAAAAACCTGCCTCGAATTGTGCTTTGCTATGCTATTCGTAGCGGCAGCTGACAACAATACTGACGAATGAATCATAGGCATTACACGCAAATTAGAGCCAATGTACACCGCGGAGGGAATCATACAGACACACGGGACAAAAACGTATACATAGCGCATCCGAGCAAAAGTGTACTGGCCGTGCTGGGCGAGAGGATGGGCAGAGGCGGTCGCCCTGATCAGGACCGCCCGCCAGCCGGCCGCCGGTCGGGACCGACCAGAATGTACAAACACCTAGCTAACAGCCACCTAATCACAGATGGCCCTCAGGCGGGCTGCAGTGGGTGGCACAGGTGACGCACCCCGCGTGAGCTGTAGGGGATGATGGTAAACTCCAGCCATTCCGTCATGTAATCCTTAACACAGCTGTGCCCAGCCACGCCTAACATTAAGGACACGCCCACAAGCTCACAGAAAACGCAGGGGTACCCATCATGGACACCGACAGGTACGATGACTACAGCCCCAACAAGACAGCCTTCCTACCACGCTCCCCTGACCAGGTCAAACCAAACCCGAGCCGCAACGACTGAAAAATTACGCGCGGTCGCCCAGCCTCGCGCCTAGGGAAAAGGCCGGTGTAGTCTAACCTTTAAATAATTTCCTATTTGTTTAAGTAAATTTAGCGTAGGCTTATGACAACCTTCCGTCAGTGTCGAATGTACGCGAATGTACCTAGTATTGCAAGAGCACCATCATGTATTCGCAACGCTTCGCTCCACCGCGCAAGGGTTGTGAATGAAACAGAAATCAACACTAACACAGAGCAATGATACATTGGTTCAAATTTGCAATTGATTAGTGCGACCCATCTGTAAACGTTGGTGTGCAGCTGCCGTACGAACGGCACAGCAAAGCAAACTTTGAGCGGAGGTTTTGCGAGTCTGTAGTAGGTGAATTACGACAAATGCGACCCACGCGGAACAATCAACAGTATGTTGAATATTTAAACCACTTTTCCGCTCCTGCTGACAGTACGTCACGAGTGAGCTCTCATTCACCATCTAAAAGATTATGACCGACCGAATGCAATGGTGTTGCCACCTATCGATGGGACGAAAACCTATTACTTCCGTATTTTTCATACTTCGGACAACTCATGTATCTAGCGGTATTGCGGTTCCAGTACGATAAAAGAGCTTCGTTTTTGGTGCCAAATTGGTCGCAACGATCCGTGATTTACGGCCACAGATGCATTTCCGTCCACAGAATTGCAATGGGAGTTCTACCCAAAAACGTCCCAAAACCATTACAGTAGTACATTTTCGAATGAGAAGTGCTAGCAAACTATGTTAAGACTTCGTACTTATGAAAGAGGAATGTTCCAAGTTTGAAGATAATGAAGCACACGATATGATAAGATAAGATCACTGACCCCTACTGGTAAACCTTGAAGTGGTACGGGCTGCTCTAGGCAACACAATATCTATGTTTAGTAAATGAGAGGATTTCATTGACGTTATTATGGCGTCATGGGTACCTGGGCGACCTTGAAATAGTTTCCGCGAAATAGTTTGCACACCGTCGCGGGCGTGTAGCTCAGCAACTAGAAAGATTCAGGTATGACGAAGGGCAGGGCTGCAAATTGCACAGAATGATCTTCGAGATAGTCATTTTAAAAAAAAACATAGAAATGTGGAACAGTCCATTTAAAGGGAATGTTTCACATTTGACGATCTCGAAGCAAATATCAGATATGATGAAACAATGCTCATTTACCACTATTGGTACACTTCTTAAGTGCAAAATACTTCTCAACAGCACAATTCTCAATTATTCTCTCAATGCGTCATGGTCTGATCACGTCATCGTACCTTGTACAACATTTATTCAGAGGCACTTGACGGCCGTTGCACTTGGAAATTGCGTTCACGAACGCCAGATATCAACGCCTTGACAATCATATTTTGCTTGGGCTGGATTGCCACATGGCTCGTGGAATGGCGGGATCTGAATGACGTTACTATGATGTCACGAATGCCAAGGCGACTTTGAAATACTCCCCCCGACGTACCTTTCCCCATTCTCCCGGGCGTGTAGCTCAGAAGATAGAGGGGCTTAGGTCTTAGGAATGACAAAATTGCGAACAGCACGGACAGATCTTCAAGGTTGCTATTTCAGTTCGAAACCCCATACAAATGTGGCACACTCCCTTTAAGGCAATATTCAAAATCAGCACTGGAAATGGCACCAGAGACCGATCGCAAATCTTCAATTTTGGGCCAAGCCAAAAGTTGCAAAACAGGTAGACCTCGTGCATTCTACATTTCCCTGTGTGTAACTTCCAGGTTTTCAGTTGTGTCGTAAAACCGGCTTTAGCAGGCAAAACCAAACGTCAACGGCTCCCTACAGCCACAGATGACTTCACCGCGAGCCCACAGTCCGGGCGGCTGCGTGCGCATGCTGCGTACGCGGCCCGCGCGCAATAGCAGCCGCGAGACCGCCCACCAGCAAGTGGCAGTCCTCCCCCCTCTCCCCCCCCCCCTCCCCACACACACACAGGCTGGGGCTCACCTGGCAGACGAACTGCAGCAGGCTTCCGCGATCCATCTCGTGACGGGCCCGCTCGCCCCAGTCAAACTCGAGCGCCGTCTCGCCGCCCTTCCGCTTCACTTGCTTCGTGGACAAGTACCGAGCCCTCACCAGGTCCTGGTGGCACGGCGGCGACAGCTGACCGCGCAGTCGGCAAGCCGCCAGATATCCCCAAAACCGGCACATCGGCACAGCCAGCGCCACTCAGCAGGTCTCCATGCATGATACGCCACGCCCTCGGTGGCGGGTCACCATCCCGGCATCGTTTGACGGGCGAGACTCTGGGCGCCGACAGCCGGCTGACACTGACCTGCTCGAGAAGCTTCACGACGTTCCCGAAACACCCCTGCTGATCATTCTTCTCCACACCGAGTGCCTTTAAGTAGGCCCACATCGCCTCTGCGGGTGTGGCCACACATGGTATGTTGAGGCCTGCGCACGGTGAGGAGGCGACACTCTCGGCGCACTCCATCAGATTTAAACTAATGAGCATGATAGGAACCGCGCACGGACACGTCATGTCGCTCGACCCGACCAGGGAGCGAGTAAGCCTCGGTGCAAGGTCATCATATGGTAGCACGCCGCGGACGCGCGCTCGTCTTCACAACAGGAGTCTCCATCCGTGCAGCCGAAGCCTGCCTTGTCACAGAGGACCGACGCACGCCGGCCCTCCCACGACCAGCGGCCGGACCTGCCGCGCCTCACGCCACAGCTCCGTCGCGGTGGCCGCGGCCGCGTGGCGCGCACCTTCCAAGACGGGGCCGTTGTTCATGAAGATGTAGGCCAGCACGACGACCAGCAGGCCACGCTGCTGCTTCTCTGCCTCCGACAGCGCCACGGCGGGCGGATCCACCAACACATCGGGCCTGTTGTCTGGCAACGGCAGCCGGTTCACCAGCACCAGTTGCGTTTTGTTCTTCAGCGCCTCCAGGGACACACCGAACACCTGGCGCGGCGCGCACAGC